CCAGTTTTCTTTCTTTACATGTATTTTTAATTTTTGTCCTTCTTGTAACATACTGTTTTTTTTTAAAAAAAAGTATATCAATTAATTAAAATAATATAATATTATTAAAAAAAATACCCAGCTTTCTGCCGAATTCGGGGGAAAGGCTTCGGTGGAAAGGCTGGGCAATTCATAAAGAACAAAGAAAATAAGGGCAAGCATTAATTGACACAAGAAAAAAATGGAGGATGAGGTAGTTAGAAATTGGGAGTGATAGAATAAGGCTATGTTTGGATAGCACTCCAAACCATGGTTTGGGGACCCAAACCATGGTTGGGAAAAATGCTACCCAAACAGCCTCTCCAAAAACCAAAACCATGGTTTTGGGTCAAAATCATGGTTTTGACTCCAAAACCATGGTTTTGGAAAAAGCAAAATTTTTTGCTTTTGGAGAAAAAAGGGAGAGTGTGAGGGCCTATATGATATGTATCTTGTTATTTTTTTATAAACATATTTTTTTATAAATATATTTAATCTTATATTTATAAATATATATAGACATTAATTATTTATTAATTATATTATCTTATGTATTATTAATTATGTTGGTAAAAAAACATATTATTAACAATTTTATTTCTTCAAATTAAAATATATCATAAAATCTATTTTTTCTGTAATTATCATATTAACTTATGTCTTTTTTTTAGTAATTTGTATATATAAAAAGTGCTTCTGATAACAACTATCCAAACACTCTCACTTCTCAGAATCACTTTTTTTACAAAATCTATTCTTCACAGAATCTATTTTTTCCAGAATCTATTCTCCAGAATCACTTTTCCAAACCACGGTTTGGTTCATCCAAACACACCCTAAAGAGAGAAAGATGGGAGACGGAAAAGGAAGAAAGAGTGAGAGAAAGGCAGAGAGAAATCAAAAGAGTGGGCAAGTAGGAAGGACAAGGCAAGATTTGGGAATTATTTAGGTATATAAACTTACTTCTTTTTGTCAAATCTTCTTTATAAGTATTTCCTATATATCTAGAGCTTTATATTTTTAGTTCGCTATAATATTTAGAGAAAATTTTATTGTTTAGGTATGGAGTAAATATAGAGTTTTGACAATATATGACTGTAAAAATTTAAAGATACATTATTAAAAAATTTTAATCAGTTTATATTTGCTCAGTGACTATTTTGAGAATTTTAAATTAAGATTTTAGTTAAAAAATTTGTTATTCAATGACATATAGAATGTTTTTACCGATTAAATTTAAGTTAAATAATTTATTTGAGCTATTTAGTATATTATTGAGATTTTAATTGGTTTAAATATTGAATAAGTTAAATATCTATTTTTGAAATAATTTTTGAAAGCTTAAAAAATTGTAAATTTGCGAATTTTATAGAAAGAAAAATTTATTTATAATTCAAAGGAGTTGTTTAGTTGAGGGAAAAATTTTTTAAATGAAACTATAATAAATAATTAAGATTTTAATATAAAATATTTAGATTTTGGGTAATAAATATATATTTATTTAAGTTATTAGATTTAAATAGTTTTATATAAAAATTTTATTGTCAAAATAATATTGTATCTATTATAAATAGCTAGATTTGTGAGAGTTAATATTTTGTTTAGAGGGTAGTCTTAGAATTTTAGAGTAGTTTTAAGATTAGTTTTAAGTTTTATATTAATAAATATGTATGCATAATTTTGTAGACTCTTGAGAATTTTGGAATAATTTTTGTGTGAAAATTTATAAGTAAAAAGTACTAAGTAACTCTGAAAATTCTTTCTTGTATATGTAAATTGTGTATAATTATATTATGGATTTACTAATTTTTATATTACTGAAATATAATATTATGATTTTTCAAATAAATGTTTTAATATGTTACTTGATTTTGTTAAGATTTATTACTATTAATTACGATCAATATTTAAATATATTGATATCTATGGAATTGGCATGAGTTGTTGTTAAATAGTATAGAAATTTTATTATTATCTTATTTTTAATAATGTACTTGAGGATGTATTTATGATGTAATATTATTTGCATCTAACATATATATTGTTGGGCTAAGAATAGAATGAGATTTGTATGGATATGAATTACCACGTGGTATGTCATCATTCGGTGCATAGTGGATGGCACTTGTCAAAGCCCATTTTGCCATGTTTTTTTTTTTGCCGGGAATTTATTGGAACTATGAGAGATGTGATGCCTCCTTATGTTTCTTTCCAAAGGAGGAGAGCTATAGTCTGAGCTTAAATTCTATATCTTTGGCCAGATATATCTCTAGTATTGGTGAGCTTGGAATAATTCAGTAAAATGAATTAGTTCCTATCGGACTATGTGTTAGCCTATGACTCCAATCAACAATATAAGAGTGGACAGTGATATAAGCGAGGTAGCATACTATATTATTTTTGGATATATTAGAAAAATGATATTTGTATATTGTTGAATCAAAAATAAAATTAAGTTGAATGTATCAAATCCGTGATTTTCACACACACACACATAAACAGATTTTTTTTATTTATCATATATGGTTTGCTTGTATAGATTAGAATTTCAGTAGTTACTAAGACGTTTGATCTCATCCCTTATTTTAACATTTTTCAAGTGAAGGATCTAGTAGGAATCAAGAGAAGGCACTCATGGAGTGAGCCGTGAAAGCTTCTGTGCTCCTCGAGCATATGCTATGTTATATTTTTAATTGCCATGATTATAAGACTTTAATGGTTTATTTTGTTATGTTTAAAAAATATCACCTTTAAATTAAAACATTAAATGATTTCTTAAATTTAAATTGATTCAATTACTTTGGCTTCAATGTCGGGATTGGTTTCTCATGAAAATCATTATTAGGCCACCATGGCCTTTTTATTTCTTTGTTGTTCTTGTGGCAACAAGGTTCTTGGCATAACTATGCCATATGAAAATCAGTTTCTCTTTGATTTTATCGTCTTGTTAGTTGTTACTTTTTTTATAGGGAACAAGCATCCTATGGTTATGATGAGAAGGGTTAACAAAACCCCACGCCAGAAAGCCTTACATTGAAATCCCTACGTATATTCCTAAATTACTCTAGCGCTCTTAGAACCCTCACCTTAGTGTAATAGGTACTATTTCTAGTTTTTAATATAAATACTAGTTGACTAATTTGAATATTTTAAAAGAATTAGTTAAATTAGTTATTTGTAATAAATATATGTTCTTTTTTCAAAAAAAAAATCATTATTAATCAAGTGTATTAGTTAGGACTACTATTATTATAAAGACTACTTTGAGAAAAAATAAATAAATATAAGAGATAAAGTATATTGAAGTCTTATATTTAGGATCAAAATAAAAGTCAAATAAATTTTTATATTAAGGACCAGATATAATATATTGTTAATGATATATTACACGGTCATCCATTCTGCTCTCAACTAGGGCACATTACTTGAACTGAGTTTAAAAGAAACATTAAAGTGCTTTTGAAACATGAATAGCTTGATTTGGAGAATAGCTTCTAAAGAATAGATTCCGGGGAGAATAGATTTTGTGAAAAAGTGATTTTGAGAAGTGAGAGTGTTTAGATAGTTGTTATCAGAAGCACTTTTTATATATACAAATTACTAAAAAAGGTAAATTAATATTATAATTACATAAAAAACAGATTTTATGATATATTTTAATTTGAAGGAATAAAATTGTTAATAATATATTTTTTATCAACATAACTAATAATACATAAGATAATATACTTAATAAATAATTAATATGTGTATATATATTTATAAGATATAAAATTAAATATGTTTATAAAAAAATAATTGAGAGATGTTAAAGTCATATTATTGTTGAGATCTACTCTCAAGCTCTCCCTCATACTGCGTCTGAAACAATGAGAAAGAAATGAATAATTGGGAAAGGTATATCCGTCTGGGCAAAAAAAAAAAAAAAGACACATATCTCGTAGGCTCTCACACTCTTCCCTGTTTTTTTCCAAAAATAAAATTTTTTGCTTCTGCCAAAACCATAGTTTCTGCGCCAAAACTATGGTTTTGGTTTTTTTTTTTAAATGGTGTTTGGGTGATTTTTCTCAAATCATGGTTTGGGTCATCACCGAAACACCTTCGAAATCTATATGATTTTATGAAGCTTTCTGCTGTTACTGTGTGAGATGAATGAGATAATATGAGGAAAATAACTTCTTAAAAGTAATGGATTGGATTGTGTTAATATTTAAGTTTTTGTTTCTCTTAACTGATGGCAGAGTGGGATTTATATAGAGGTTCGGAGTCATCACATGACAAAATCCTAATAGTAACTATCATTATGACGAGTAGGGGTCATAATGACTTTTTAGCCTAATAATGACACAATTGTCATGATGATTGGCTATCCTAATAATGTCACTACTTTAATAAAAGCTGTTAGCTGAACCGGACCAAACTAACATAGTTTGATATCCAAGGCTTTAATTCAGGTAAGACCACTCATTATCAACTCATGAACGGGCCACATTAGGACTTCCAGTTTTGAATACCAGATCTAGGATAACTGGAAAGATTATTAATATTAGTCTATCAAATTAGAAAACTGTGGTCTCTCCCATTTCTGTGTGCGCGCAAATTGCAGATTGCAGAAGAAAAATAAGAATCTTGGTGCCCTCATGACTAAGAAATGGAATTCGACTTCTGGAAGCATGGTCTCCATAGAGGCTTCGTGTTTGACAAATGACAATGAACTTTCGAAGATGTACCCGTTATAATTTTATATAATAAAATTAATTAATGAATTCGGCTCAAATTAATTATTAATTAGTTCTTTTCAAAACGACTCTACATAAAAATAATTAATTAGAGGGGTTGTGTACAGTGTATTTTTTGGGTGGTCAAAAGTGTACAGTGTAGTTAATTAGAGGCAATAATTACTGTGGGAAGTGATGGACCTTCCCGAGGAAATTGGGGTAATCTACCAATGAAAAGTGATCGCCCTTTGATCTGATCATCCATCAGGGAAACCGTTGGTCTACCCAATTTTCTTTCTTTATCATCCTTCTATTTTCGTTACTCTTCCTGCCACCGGTATGCCTAATCCACAATACTTAATTTCTCAATCACGATCGTATGTCTCGCTGTAGTTTTTGCTCAGTTTGTGCTGATTTACATTTCACTGCAGTGTAGGGCAAGCCTTCCAATTTGGTGCTTTCATTGTCCTCCCATGGCGGAACACAGCCGCTCAGAGGATCTTGACGCGGCCATTAACCAGCGTGATATGAACGCTCGATTAGAGAGGTTGGAGTCTTCTCTTGATGGAATCACTCGTGCCATCGGAGTCTCCGGTTCCGATTCCGACGCTCAACAGGTAATTTCATTGTTTATTTGCTGCGTTTTACTTCTCAGTGTTGCGCAAACAGGGCACAACATAAATATTAAGATTAAGAATAAGAAGAAAAGAGGCTACTGAGTTGTGGTCCTGTAAATATTCATCTTGTTTCAACTATTAGGTGGCGATTTGATATACAGGTGCTGTTCTCTGGTGAACCGATGTGACAGCGACCGTGCTCATCGTTTCAACTTGTCTAAATTTGATTCGAAAGATCTGTATTTAAAATTTGTAATCTATAATTTTTAATAATAAATTTATTTTTTTAAGAAATGTTAGTTATAAAAATTATTTCAAATATAATCTGATTTTTGATGAGCATGGAACGAGTTTCCGGAATATCAACCTCTGGTTATTTAAATTTTGTTAAATTTGTTGTTGTTGTTGTTGTTGTTATTATTATTCATTAGCAGCTTTTCTGTGATAATTTCAATTTTTCAAAGAAATGATTATCTTCAAATTGCTTGTCTATATTTTCAAAAGTGAAAAAAATGTATAAGAATAGAATAAAAAATTAAATCTAAACTTTTTATTTTTTATACCACTATTGACCTTCTCAATTTGTATCTTTGATTGGGATGACTGTTTCAATATTCTCATCCAAAGATCATGTCTGTTTCATGGCCCAAAAAGATCGCTTCTGTTTTAAAACGATCTAACCGTCAAAGTCCTGTTGGACTGGGGTTCAAACTCATTGGGCCTAAAGCCCATTGGGGCATCACACTTTTCTTCAAATTAATTTCCGATTCATATTGTTATTTTGTTGCCATTTTATTGCTTTTTATTAGAAATTGTACTTCTTGGATCAAGAGGACAAGGTGAACAACTTGTACCATTAGTTTGCTGATTGTTGTCAATGTCTTTCAATGATCTTTCTGCCTCTTTTCTGTCTGGACTCTCAATGAAACAGTGTATTTCATGAGAAGTGTCTTGTAAACCGTTGGATTCAAAACTAAGCTTTAGTTTTAGTTCTTCTCTATCTTTTTGACTGTTTTTGTTGCTATATTTTGGAAAATTTGAGCTTATTTTGTGCAGTGGATTATTGCAGCAGAGGTTGAGGAAAGAAAAGGGAGCAAAAGACCATGAAAAGAAAGAAGAGGCTTACCTTTACGCCATTATAATGGTGATCAGTTCCTTATCTCAATTACACTGCTCCTTTTACTTTACCAGAATTCTCGGTGTTGCTAAATCAATTGTATTACTGGTTCTGAGTAATGCTTCTTATAGGCGGCATGACATGAAGATCCTACACAGCAGATAGGAAGATATGTATATTTTGATCTTGTAGACCATAGCAAAGTGAAACGCTTTCGAGTGAAAAAGCAGACGCTTTTTAACCATTTCAAGGTACAACAATCTACCATCCTTTTACTCTTCTGCAAGAACCGTCTAACTTGGCACAGTGTGTTAACTTATTTTGTTTCTTCTATAACATGCTTTCGCTAACAGCTTAGTCTGGTCTTGCGTGGTTATATTTTTTTCCCAAGACTGCTGCATTCCTTAAAGAAAATTGAATAGTGAAAAATGTTAGCACACTGCATAGCGATCAAATTGCAGTACAAATTGTTAATTGCAAGTGTTTGCACCGTAATCATAATTTCGTTGAGGCCCAAGCCCTAAGTGATTTTAAATGGTTGACCTTAGTGTTCTGCATAGCGATCAAATTGCAGTACATATATGTGTATCTTCGTGTTCATGACTGATAAACCTTTCACTTAGATTCGTATAAGAAGTAACCAATACTGATGCAGCATCAAATAGGTAAGTTTTAATGTGTAGAACAATTTAAAGCAGAAATGGTTTTAGATTGTTGATAATAATTAATAGTATCAATCTCTTCTCTCAGAAATTTTTTGGATCTGAACATTATAAATTCAATCATTGACAAGTATTCAAAGCCGTTATAAATGGAGTTTTGAAATGTTTAGACTGATTTTGATGTTTCCTAAAACAAGTTTTACTTTAAAAAGAAAAAAAAAAACACTTTACAAAGTGATGGTTTATGTGGCAGCTATGCTGGACATCTCTGTTTATCTTTGTGTTCATGGCAGATAAATCTGCATCACTTATCTTGAATCTTATGGGAATTAACAATATCATAGTTGCATCAAATGGGGAGTTTCAATGCATACAACAGTTTAAAGCCGGAATGCTTTTATAATGTTGATGATAGTCTATTGTAGTAGCTAACTTTTTTTTTTTTAAGATTTTTTTTGTATGAGCATTTTAGTGCTAAATTTATGTGAGTGATGATTGCTCAAGTTCTTATGATTCTGTGGTTGAATTGTTTTCTGTAATTGTTTATTATTTGTAAAATGCAGGCTGGGGTTGCAAGAGAGTTTGGCGTCCCACTGCAATTTCTACGCTTTCGGCTTTGGGCAAGGCGTCCAAACCATACTTACCGTCCTTATAGGCCGGTGACACCACTTAAGGAAACCCAATCTGTAAAATTTCCAGCTTGAGCCTTTTTTTTTTTTTGAAAGTTGTTTACCCTTCATTTCCTTACTTCCGTTTGGCGTTAGCTATAACAACCCTCATATTTATTTATTTCTCTAACTACTGCTGAGTTTCTTGGTTTAAGCAATATGGGAGTAGCCTTTTTATTTTTATTTTTTTAAAAAGTGATTTTTTTTTTAATTGAAGCGTAGTTTTTTACACAATCATTGTCATTAAATGTCATTAGTGTATCAGCTACAAGGATGTTAGGCATTTCCGTCTCGCTGGTAGGCGTAACAAAGACCTCCAAATGATGAGCTATAGAGATGTTAGGCATTTCTAATTAGTTGGCAAGTGTAACAACAACGTCAAAATTATAAGTTGTAGGAGTGTTAGGCATCAACAGTCAAGGTACCTATTAATCCTACCCATATTAGATTCCAACTTGTTATACTCGAAAACAAAAGCTGGGTGCTCCGTGTTTAAGTGGAATCACAAGAAACTTTGACAACTAATCCTCTTTTAGGGTAGGTTTCTCATCAAAATATTGTTGAGGTGCCACTTGTGGGAGGTGGTGCACAACATATTCTTTGAGCACATCAGTGGTTCGTGATCTGTTTAAAGCCCTCTGGTGGGTATAGGATTCAGGAAGTATGATAGCTTGATATGGCTGTCAAATCACCTAAGGAAAAAAAAAATTTAAATGATTTTTTAGGGCATTTGAAAAATATTAATGGCAAGTTTCAGAGGACAAGAATGTAGATGTTATTAGGATCCGACTCTGAAAAGAGCTCTAGTAACTCTTCCACAGTCGGACAATGTTTACCATAAAAAATTAAGACTGTTTTATTTTCATCACCTATTCTAGCATGAGTAGAAAGGATTATAAATACAAATGTTACAAGTTATCAAAGAAAAATGGGACCACTAGTATGGGTGATGACAAATATCTACAAAATAAAAAAACAAAATAAATATTCAAATTCAAAAAATTTATGAAAATAAATAAATCCCTTTTTAAAAACATAAAAATTAAAAAAGACATTAAAGAGATGGTCAATAACTCAAACACACAACCAAATAGGTTAGTGTTTACTATTTTGCATGCTTTTAAGTTTGGGTGAAGATTTATCTAGCTCGCAGTTCCCCAAGCATAATATTTTATTTGCTTTATCCCCCTAATAAGATTGATAAAGTTCTTGTGAACTTTGTATTTCCCCGCTTCCTAGGAGATCATGCTTCCTATGCCAAGTAGGGTTGTTGCTCGGCTTATATGATTCATCGTCTCCTCATCAGCATTCTCAGCAATACCATTAATAAAATTTATCAAACCTTGGATGCTAACAAAATAACCTTCCAAGGGAATTCCGATAAGTCTTATAACATCCTAGGCTTATAGAACTGGGGCTATTGGCTCAAAAACAATTGGCTTACCATAAATTTGTGAACCAGTTATCATTAACACATCTTTGAGGCCAAAATATAATTTATTTTTGCCAATTTGGAAGGTCTCGTTTTTAACATTATATGCCTCTATCAATGCAACAAGGAGTGATTTAATATGAGTCATCTTTATTTTGTGTTTAAAGATGGGCTCAAATCTGGACTCTTGCAACTTTTCTTTGATTTTTGGGTTGTGGTCAACTTTATGATATTAAAAAACTAGCTCCCTAGGGGTTATCCAACTACCATCATCTAGAAATTAAAATTGTTGTTATTGTTGAATTAACAATTTCAATTTTTAGGTGATGGTAGTTGGATAACTTCCAGAGAGTTAGGTTTTCAATATCATAAAATCAACCTCAATCCAAAAATTAAAGAAAAGTTGCAAGGGTTCGAATTTGAGCACATCTTTTAACACAAAATGATGATCACTCATATTAAATTTCTCATTGCTGCATTGGTAGACGCATATGATGTTGAAATCGAGGTCTTCTAGATTGGCCAAAATAAAATATATTTTGGCCTCGAAGACATGTTAATGATAACTAGTTCACAAATTGATTGTTAATCAGTTGTTTTTTAGCTGATGGCCCCAGTTCTACAAGCGGTGGATGTTGTGGGACTTGTTGGGGTTCCTTTGGAGGGTTATTTTGTTAGCATCCAAGGTTTGATTAATTCTATCAATGATATTACTGAGGATGCTGATGAGGAGGTTGTGGATTGTGCAATTCGAGCAATAGCCCTTCTTGATATAGGAAGCATGATCTTCTAGAAAGCCGGAAAATGTGAAGTTCATAAGAATTTTATCAATCTTCTTAGAGAGGTAGAGCAAAAAAAAATCTTATGCTTGTAAAGCTGCAAGCTGGGTAAATCTTCACTCAAGCTTAAAAGCATGCAAAGTAGATAAACAAACTAACTTGTTTGGTTGTGTGTTTGGGTTATTGGCAATCTCTTTAATATCTTTTTTAATTTTTATATTTCTAAAGAGGTATTTATTTGTTTTTATAAATACTTTGAATTTTGAATTTTGAATGATTACTTTGTTCCCTTTTTTTTGTAGATATTTGTCATCACCCTCATACTAAAAGTGGTCCTAGTTTACTTTCATAACTTGCAGCATTTGGATGTATGATCCTTTTCGCTCATGTTAGAATGGGTGGTAAACATAGGAAGGTTTTAATTTTTTGATGTTAAACGATGTCTGATTGTGGAAGAGTTATTGAAACTCTTTTCAGAGTTGGATCCTAGTGAGGTAACATTTACGTTCTTGTCTCTTGAAACTTGGCACTAGAATTTTTCAAAAGCACTGAAAAATTATTTACAATTTTTTTTTTCTTAAGTGATTTGGCAGCTATATCAAGCTATTGTGCTCCCTCAACATTATACCCACCAAAGGGTTTTAAGCAGATTCTGGGCTATTGCTGTGCTCAAAGAATACGTTGTGCACCACATCCCACAAATGGCACTTCAACAATATTTTGATGGGAAACTTGCCATAGAAGAGGAATAGTTGTCGAAGCTTCATGTGGTCCTATTTAAGCGCGAAGCAGCCAGCCCCTTTGTTATGTTTACGAGTATAACATGTTGGAACCAAAGGTGGGTAAGATTAGTAAGTACTTAACTGGTGATACCTAACACCCCTACAACTTATAATTTGGAGGCTGTTGCTACACTCGCTAACCAATCAGAGATGCCTAGCATCCCTGTAACTCATCATTTGGTGGTGATGTGAATGATGGGGATGATCAAAATTCGCCAAGAGTTTTAAGAAGACTCGAGAAGACAAATCCATGGTTCAAAGATTATGTAGTGGCGTCTATAGTCGGGTCTCCTAAGTGTTGAAGGAAGGTGAGCTAAGAATCAAGATTTTTTATTTCTTATTTATCAAATTTTTCTGACATGAAATTTTGATTAGATTAGGTAAAACTAGACGAGAAATATGTGGGGCTGGTGTTTCGCTAGAGTGATGAGTGGTTACTAACCTCTCTTTTCTTGCTTCCTTTTTTTTTTTTTTTTTTTGTAATAGTTATTGCTGTTTGTTTATTATGAAAAAATTACCATACTATACACTTGTATTGATTATATACTAGTAACTTATGCATCATAGATATTTGCTACTTGGTTTTATGTACCTACAAATGTCTACATCATATCTGTAATATTTTTCGCTTGCCATTATGAAATGCATCTCTTATCTTTCTAACCTTTTGTTTTGCATCTTCATTGATGATCTTCCTGGGTTAAATGCAGAAAGGTATATCACTTTTTAACAGAAAACGTTCCAAGGGTTTTGATTTTTTGACCGGCAACAAAAAAATTGTAGTTCTCCAAAAGAAGTGCCTTTTTTACCTCAAGAACACTGCTTTCCTTGATCAAACCAAGATTGGTGACTATATGGGGGAAAGAGACGAATTGTCTCTCAAAGTTGTGCATGCTTATGTTGACTGCTTTAATTTCAAAGGCATGGATTTTGGTGAAGCCATAAGGTTTTTTCTTTGGGGCTTCAGGCTGCTTGGTGAGGCACAGAAGAATATTGATTGCTTCATGGACAAGTTTGCTAAGCGTTATTGTAAATGCAATCTAAGTTCTTTTAGTAGTGCAGATACTTCATATGTCTTGGCTTACTCTGTGATAATGCTCAATACAGATGCTCATAATAGCATGGTGAAAGATAAGGTTTGAGTGCTTGGTCTTTTCTAATTTTTCTAGCCTATAGTTGAACATCAGCTCTCTTAATATATAATTTTAAATCGTTAGGTCCATTCTAAGCATGTTCCATTCCTTTTAGTACTGATTGAACCTTGAGTATTTCATGCTAGTAGTGATTGGATTGAGTTGAAGGGGCTCAACACCTTGTAATAAGGTTGTAGGTTTGAACCTTGTAGATAAAAAATCATGTTGGGAGAGTTACTCCTATTTGTGTCTAACAATGCTTGAATTTAACTTTAATATAGCATGGTATTAAAACTTGGACCAACTTGGCCGGTCATATCGACAACCCAATCACTTGGTTAGTCTAGTCAATCAATCAACCCAGGATCAATCTGGGGTAACCCGACAGATTGGGTAGGTCAAAGAGGTTGCATATTATATATATATATATTTTCTCCCCTCCTAATCCTTAAAAGTTAAAAGATATAGTTTTGAGATGTGAAGAACTAAAAGAAAAAATAATACATTTCTAGCTCCTTTCTGTGTTAGGCTCATGCGTGCCCTAAGCCCCAAAGTCGTCATGATGAAAATTCATAGATTGATATGCTGCAATTTTGATGTATTAATAAGGCAAAATGTCATTACAGCTTATGATTTTTTCCGTTAGTGCTAGAAATCATATTCAAATATTAATATTTTTGTATATTTTAGTTAAATTATATTATTTTAATCATGACTAGTTTGAATATGGTTCGACCTCTATTTCTTGAACTATTTTCTCGATCGATTCAATGACCAGTTTGGTTTTTATACTGTTGGGTACCATATAATCATACTGATATATAATATTTTTATCCATGGGAACATCTTATAATGCCAACATAAGTTTTACTTGAAAAATGTCATTTGATATTTCTCGTTTTTTTCCCCTTTTCATGGGTGGCAATAATGCTCAATTAGTTGATATATGTTCAAGAAAGTCATTGTGAATTTGTAAATGACAATGTTTTATTATCATTATTTCTAATATATAACTCAGCGAATTCAGAATATCTTATTTTCTGATTATGTTGAATGTGCGTTTGACATGGGTTTTTGGGTTACATTGTTGATGACCTTCCAGATGACAAAGGCTGATTTTATTCAAAACAATTGGGGAATAGATGATGGAAAGGATCTGCCTGAAGAGTATCTCGGGGCCCTGTATGATCAAATTTTTAAAGGCTAAATCAAGATGAATGGTGATTTTTCTGCACCTCAGAGCAAACATGCAAATAGCTTTAATAGATTGCTGGGTTTGGATGGTTTACTCAATCTTATGAATTGGCAGCAGAATGAGGATAAAGTATTCGCTGCTAACGGCCTTCTCATTCGTCACATTGAGGAGCAGTTTAAGTCAGGAAAATCAGAGTAAGCTAAAATATTGGCCCATTTTGGGGATGATTTTGTGGAAATGTACTCTCTTACAAAGCTAATCATACTAATTCTTTCTTTTTAGTGTTTATGCTGTTATTTCATGTGTGGGGATTTTCTATTTGATTATGCTACCTTGGCTGCTTTCGATAATATCTGTCACATTCAAACAAATATTTTAGCGTGTGAAGTCTCTACATTTAGTATATGCTACCTATTTGTGGGGATTCCAATTTTACCTTTTGTTGCAGATCTGTTTATCATGCTGTCACAGATCTGACAGTATTGAGGTTTATGGTGGAACTCTGCTGGGGTCCCACGTTGGCTGGTCTCAGTGTAACCCTTGACCAGAGTGATGACAGGATAGCAACTTCTGAATGCTTGCAGTGATTTCGACATACTGTGCATGTTACAGCCGTGATGGCTATACAAATTACAAACTCAGAGGGCTGCTTTCGTTACATCTATTGCCAAGTTTACATATCTGCATTGTGCTGCAGATATTAAAGTACGAATACAACAGAAACTTCAAGTTCCTGATGAGAAGTTTGCCAATGTACGTTTCTTCTACCCATGAATCCCAGGCTTCTGAATAAAAATTGGTTGCAATGTTGTGTGTTTTACTGGCAAAAAATGGAATATCATGTTCGATGTTACTAAACCTTTTATGTTTATTATTATATTCTTGTGGCTAGTGGAAGTTTGCAGTTCTTTCACTTGGGCAACCTGAGTACCTTCAGTACTCAAACATCGTGTCCAGTCGATTTCAGGTACATCCATTGAACCTCAATTAAATTTCTATACTTGTTGGAGTTGAGTCATACCATTATTTCATTTTGTTAACTTGCATTTATATTTACATTTTTTGATGTAAAAAATTCTTTCTTATGATAAAGAAGGGATGTTTATAGTGCTTGGGAGGAATATCTTGGCTTAGAGCATGCTGATAACGCTCCTTGAAGGGATGTTTATAGTGCTTGGGACCGTGTTCTTTAGTAGGGAACCTTACCGGAAAGTGTAGGTGATTGGTTGCATCTTAAAATATAGATATCACTAGATGCTCAAAATTTGACGTTTGTTTTCAGAGTATATGATGAAAGTTTGGAAAGTATGGTACAGTGCTTCTTAGTTATCTTTCTTAAGTATGAGGTTGTGAGTTCAAACTCTATAAAAAAATATAATGGCTATGTGAATTATAACAAAAAAAAAAAAATGGGATGTATGGCGCATACAGTTGTGACCTATTTGAGATTCAGAGTGTGTTTGGGTGACACCCCAAACCATGGTTTAGGGACTCAAACCATGGTTTTGACCCAAAATCATGGTTTCAGAGCCAAAACCATGGTTTTAACCCAAAACCATGGTTTTGGAAAAAGCAAAAAATTTTGTTTTTGGAGAAAAAAGGAGGGTGTGAGAGCCTATAGAATATATATCTTGTTATTTTTTTTATAACCATATTTTTTATAAACATATTTAATATTATATTTTATAAATATATATACATATTAATTATTTATTAATTATATTATCTTATGTATTATTAATTATGTTGGTAAAAAAATATATTATTAACAATTTTATTCCTTCAAATTAAAATATATCATAAAATCTATTTTTTCTGTAATTATCATATTAACTTATGTCTTTTTTTTAGTAATTTGTATATATAAAAAGTGCTTCTGATAACAACTATCCAAACACTCTCACTTCTCAGAATCACTTTTTTAGAAAATCTATTCTTCACAGAATCTATTCTCCCTAGAATCTATTTTTCAGAATCACTTTTCTAAACCACGGTTTGGTTTCATCCAAACACACCCTCAAACTGCCTTCAACTAGTTTTGCAACAACATAGCCTTAAACAAGTTTTATCCGCCAAGAATTTATAACACGCAAGCCATTAGTGCCATGCTTCAATGGAAGTTATGGAGAATGTTGCCTTCATTAGAATTGAGACGAGACACCAATTGTTTTGCAAGCTGAGCAAAATGTAAATCCTGAGTTTAATGGGCTAACAGTAAATATTGGCTGAGAAGGAAGTCATCAAGTCAAAACCTTTTGAAGCATAAGGAAATGGGAGTTACATGTTTTTTTTTTTGGTACACGCCCCGGTCAACCCCTTGAGGATTGCATATGCACCCTGCGTTTCGAAAAGATAGAACCCGTGACTATTGGTTAAAGTGAAACAATTCCTACTAGTTAATCCAAGCACTCAGTGATAATGGGAGTTATGTTATTAAGTGCATATCTTAAATTGAGACCATGGAAGATTTGATTAGATCCCTTCTTATTAATGATTGATATCTGATTTTTCATTTTTATGAAATTTTTCTCTCTCTCTTTGTATTTTTATTTTTAATTTTTGACCTATTGATGAAAAATGTTTCTACGAAACTTTTCAAAAATTCACTAATTTTAAGCAATTTGTCTTTTCTACTTTTCATCTCTAAGTGAACAAATATCTCAACTGATTTCATTCATCATATTTAAGCAGCAACATTCCTATTTAAAAGAAAATCATAAATATCTCGTGTTAACGAAGTTTTAGGCATAACATAACTATTATGCCATATGAAGATCAGTTAAACTTTGATTTCATCCTGATACTTGTGAACTTTTTATAGGAAGTAAGCATCCTAAGTCATGATGAGAGGGGTTAACAAAACTCCATACCGGAAAGCATGCATTGAAATCCCTGCTTCTATTCCTAAGTTACTGTGGCCAGTTAGAACCCTTGCCTTCATGTAATAATATGCTTTCGAGTAGGACACAATAATTGAACTGAGTTTGATAATGTTAAGGTGTTTTTTAAATATGAAATTAGGACCGGTTGCAGGTTGCCTGTGGTGGGCCGCAAGTTACACGGTACGGGCTCAAAAGGCCCGTTTTCTGACGGGTTGGTATTTTGCCAACCCTAACCCACTAAGGTGGATTAGCGGGCCAACCTACCAACCCACTAGAATTTTTTTTTCCTTGCTTATTTATTTATTTGTTTATTTTAAATTTTAAATGTTAGTAGTTACATATAATCAAAAATAAAAACACTAAAAATAATATAAAATATTACAAACATCCAAATAAAAATTACAATACAATAAAATACAAATAGTATATGATTGTCCAATTTCCCAACATGATAATGCAGTTCGCATATTTTTTTCCGATGAAACTAATGAGCAACACTAAATAACTCTCTTTACCTAGTTATTTCTAATGGCAATGAAGTTTGAAGTGAAAGTCTGCTTTACTTTTGCTTTCATTATTTATTTTTTTAAAAAAAAAATAGGTGGGCCAACTCGTCGCGGGTTCAGGTTATGACGGTGCGAGTTATATTTTTTAAGGTAGTGGCGGGTTGGCTTTTGGCCAACCCTAACCTGTCATTTTTTGCGAGTTAGACTCGCAGGTTCAACCCATATTACCGGCTCTACATGGAATCTATATGTGCTACTTTTATAAAGAATAAAGTGTATTTGGATTAGCGATAGCAAAATTGACTTTTATTCCAACTGACTTTTACAAACTTAAGTCAAGGTAAAAATCAGTTACTGTAATGTGATTTACATTTAAATTGATACTTATAAGAAGTTAGTTAAAAAAGTTAACACTTGTTTGGATGATTAATAGAAGAGTAAGTTTACATGTAAAATAAATAAAAAGACATAGATTTTATTGAAGGGTAGTGTTTTATATCATATGATTTTAATGTGATAATTGTTAAAAAATCATTAAAATTATAATCATAAAATAAAAATATTTGTTAGTGAGAATTAAAGGGTTTGTATATAAAATTGATTTGCACAGTACTACTACTCTGTGTTTATAAAAAATTCATTAAGTCTTTATCACCAATTAAATTTTTAATGAAGACTAATTAATTTGCACAGTACTACTACTATGTGTTTATAAGAAATTCATTAAGTCTTTATCACCAATTAAATTTTTAGTGAAGACTTTTTTTTCCAATTTTCTTTAAGTTTATTATTTAATTTTTTTTCCTTTGGATACTTTTATAAACATGCTTTTTTGGTTCTATTTATAAGACCATACTTTTTTGTTCTATTTATAAGACAATTTCAGCTTGTTTAATACAAATTAAAAAAAACTCTATAATAAATGAAGGACAAAATTGTATATTCATGCCAAAAATTAATAAAGTGATTTATAAATAGAATTAAAAAAATCTTCTTTTTCTACCTTATAAATAAGATTATAGAAGTACATAATTATTTAGTATTTTTGGAGTAATTTTTATTTTTATTAAAGTAAAGTAGGGCTCATTTTAATACACTTATATCTCATCTCATGGTCATCCTTTTTCTCTCTTTAGGGTGACTTTTTTCTAAAAGCTACAAATTTTGACTTTTGCTTTAACCTAACTTTTTTTTAAAAGCCCATTTGCTCAGAAGTTAATTCAAACAATATCTTACCCTTAATAAGTCACTAACTGAAGTTTCACTCTAGTTAATGCGCATTTTCTCTTCCGAACAGCATTCTAAACATGTCCTTATTGTTGGGGACTTCGCTTAGGATTTGCCTGTGATGTATGCTTTTAAAAAGATATCAATTTTTCTCTGTTCTTATATGGTTGATCCTGTCCATGCCTATGTGTTTATAGGTCTTTTCCCTAATGGAAAAGATTCATTAATGATCAATATTGGAAATTACGAGCAGAGAAGGGGGATTGGCTGTTTTAATGATGAGGAAAATAATTTCTTAAAAATAATGGATCAGATTGTGTTAATATTTGAGCTTTTGATTCTTTTTAATGAATCTTCCCATTTCTGTTTGTGTTCAAATTGTGGACTGCCAGAGAAAATAAATAATCTCGGTCCTCATCACTAAGAAATGGAATTCCACTTCTTGAAGCATCATGTAAATTATGGCTTTATGTTTGACAATGAACTTTAGAGGATGTAACGTGTTATAAAGTATTACTCAATACTCCTTTAGTAATATTGTTACTAATAATTTTACATAAATTAATGAATTTTGTTTAAATTAATTAATTCTTTTAAAATTTCAAAATTACTCTATATGGAATTGATTAATTATAGGAGGCTGTGTAGTTTATTAGAGCCAGGAATTTGGGTTAATCTCTCAATCAGATGTTTGATTTGCCAAAGTCCGAGAAAATGGGATGTAGGGAATGCCTCTCATCTTTTCTTTTTTTTTTTTTTTTGACCAGAGGGGAATGCCTCTCATCTGACCATCAAGTATCAATCGAGGGTAACAGTTAGCTTAGCGGGAAATGGATGCGAAATGACAAAATTACCTGCAAGCCTCCTCCCTCATAGGAGCAATAGGAGCAATTTTGTCGCTATCTTTTTTTTTTTTAAATAACAATTTTATCGCTATCTTTTGTTATTGACATATAAACTAAATAATTAATTTGCTAAGATTAAAATAATTATGGTAAAGTACCACCCGTTCTAATGTTATTTGGAAGTTATATCCAATACCTTTATTTTAGTTATAACACATTCAACATCTTAATATTATTTTTCAATTATATCTGTCATTATAATCCTATTTATCGTGTATTTAATATTTAGTAATCTTATTTATAGTACATGTTGAATGCACTATAAATAAGATTAAAGTGCCAGTTGCCACTGAAAAATAATATTAGGATGTTGGTTGCTGTTTTATTTAAGAAATTAGTTAACTTGATTATTTGTAAAAATAATATGTGTTAATTTTTTTAAAATATATTTTTCAATTATTTGCATTAGAAATATCTCTTGATAAAAACCTCTTTAAATGTGTAATCAATAAGAATAGTTTAAGGGAAAAAAACCTATACTTACATCAAGTTCTTTATATCAATTATGTCAAGTTTTAATCAAACATGACTATGTGTCTTATTTTTAAAATAATGTCATTTAATTATAAACCCAAGTAAATAAAACAGGACATATGGTCATATGTGATTTGAAGACTTAACATAATAAATATAAGAAACTTGATCTAAATATTTTTTAAGGAAAAATTGTAAATTTGAGAGATAAAAATAGATTGATACCTTACTATTATTATTTAGGATAAATGTAAACCTTTTAATTAGTTCTTATATTTAGAACCAAACTATTTAAAATATTTATTGCATTATAAAGTGAAAACAGGTTAGATTAGCCTTGCTTTGCCTTACTGACATGGGTTTTGAAATAAAGA